AGTGAAACCTTGATTTTGATAAGAGTTCTGTGCAAGGTTTCTGATAATTACTTGTAAATAATGGTTTTGTATCTTTTGATTGCTTGATTTTCTCTCAAGTTTCTTAATGTTTCATGATTTTTCCATTTTTTTTATTTTTTTTATTTTTTATTGTCTTAATTAGAATATTATTCACTCATAATTATGTATCCATATGCACGTCTTTCTGAATCTCTTATATGCATTTCCTGATTGCTGTAGAAGTTTATATGTTGATGAACTACTGATACCATTAATCTTAAGTATTAATCTTAAAAGAGTACTCTGTATACTATGCAGGATCATGGTTTCTGTAGATAATGTTCTTCAACTCTCCCAAGCATTTGGTATTCAAGCGTGTGAACCAGGCATCCTAGTGATAGAATTTGTCTTCTGTATTCTGTGGCAGTTACTTGATGCTATATTAGATGATGAAGGGTTGCAGGAATTGACCCCAGAAAAGAAGTCCAAATGGGAAACTATAACACAAGATATGGAAGTTGATGGAATTGACAACTTTGATCAGAAAAGTGTGGAACATAATGAGAGGCTACAGAAAATAAATTGTGTGATGGCCATTGAACTTATCGCACAATTTTTGCAACATAAACAAATTGCAGGACTTATTTGCCTGGCTCGCGATAACATGTATGTATTTTTCTACCATTAAATATGTTCAATTCCTTGTTTTAGAAATTAATCAAATAGTTTGGTCAGTGGCTTGATTCTTAGATGCCCTTTGTTAACAAACAAGTCCATGTTCTACAATCTATATTTGATGAGGGAAACTTAAATAGTTTGTTCAAAGCTCTGCTAAAGCTAATGATACGTGAGAAAACAGTTATTTACTGTTGAATGTTTCACTCACTATATCTTATTTGAAACCACCCTAGGTCCGGTATTTATGTTTAGATTGATTTCAGGTATTTGTTCAGTTAAAATGAAATAGAATTCAACAGAAGGAACAGTATTGAGATGAATATTCATATTTAAAACATGGGGAAGAACAAAAGTTAGATTTCCCATTCTATACTCCTTAACGGGAAAGAATAACAAAACTCATGACTATTCATCAAGTGAAGAGTCATGTCATGATCTGTACATTTAGCACTATGCCGCTCAGACATGTACCATTGCGCCCTCTACAACATTATGTGCTATACTTGAAGTAAGGAACACAATGACTCATCTTTTCAAGTTGATCACAGTGACTTTCTATTTCTAACACAATACATCTCTTTATTTTCCTGAATAGGCATGATGTGGCATCATATTTTAGTTAATTAATCAGTTAAATGCAAACCAGAGTGTTTTGTATACTCCATCTTGTAGGAACTTCTGTTGCTTATACTGCAGTCGGGACACTTGCAGCACAATTATGAAGTTGATCTATTGCCTACAGAAGTATTTAGTTGATAGAACCATATAATTTCCTCACTTGTTGGCCTGTCAGGTAAAAAAGGCAAGGCTAAGCTGCCATGGCATGAATCATGAATAATGCATTAGCATGTAGTCTATTCCAGACATCAAGATACATGGCAGAAGTTGCTGTATATTAGCTAAATCTTCAACATAAGACTATTCCAGAAACTGCAAATAAAGGAATTTAGAACAAAACAGCCTCATGTCGAGAAACAAGATTCTTTTAAAAATAATGGAGTTAAAAAAAAGCACTTCTAAAAATTTATGTGGTTTGTTTCTTAACCAGAGTAAGGCCCTTTGAATTAACTTCATGAGTATTCAGTTGAATATTTTCTTTTCAATTTAATCTGGTAAAGGCTTGAGTGAGAATTTAGTTGCGATAAGGTATGGATTAGGCCATGGATTCTTGGTGTCAATACCTTGATCTGCCCTTATGATATGCTGTTCTGCAGATTAGAATTGCTTTGAAGGCCTCCCACTTCCAAAAAGAGATATTTTCCCCAAAAAGCTTGGGAAGATGTAACATATTTGATCACTCAAATGAAGTGATACGGACTTCTCTCCCCCACCTCTGCTATGCTAATATGGAATACAGGGAAGGAAGTGGCTGCTGCTCATCTGATGGGTCACAGATTTGGGGCGTTTGTATAGAACTTAAACTTATCGGTTCCCGCATCTCTTTAGAACTTTAACAGACTTGCCTGAGATGTTTGAATATTTAGAGAGTCCTATAAGTATGAAATATTCAATATTCAACACACAAGGCTTGAAATTGTCTAAGGTCTTGTTGCAGAGACTAGAGAGAAATTTCATATTAAAAGAAAAAAAAAATTACTCTACTCTATCTTCAGGCAAACTTGGTATATTACTGACCCCTAAAGCACTAAATTTTATCCGGCACTTATTCTCACCTTTGTGCTGCTGTTTAAACTTTAAAGATTGTATACTTTCAGAAAAGCTTTATCTTTTGAAATTTGAAACTTCATTAGCTAACTCATGCTTGTTCAATTCTTAGGCCCTCGCAGTGGAGACTTTTCAGTCAGTGTTTGTACTTGCTTGTGGAAAACTCATTAGCATTGAGAAATTCAACAATACCTCTGGAAGGGTTCTTGCAATTGGTATCGGACAAATACGGTGTCTTTTGTAGAGAATTAAACTCCAATCAAACTAAAGGAATACATGTTATAGCTTCTTCTAGATTACTAATGTCTCCTCATGGCCACTGTCATGGGCTCAATTCTGCACTCTGGATCCCAATTGATCTATATCTTGAGGACTGTATAGATGGATCAGTTGCAGCGACAAGTGCAGTTGAATTACTAAGTGGTAAGTATAGCATAAGTTTATTTTCCTTTCACTTTGCTAATTTTCCCCTGTATTAACAACTGAAGCATCTCGTAGTTTTTGTTAATCTGAAAAATGTTTCCAACACAGGTTTGGTGAAGGCTCTTCAAGTAATTAATAGTTCCACATGGCATGATGCCTTTTTAGGTCTTTGGATGGCTTCCCTTCGTCTTGTACAACGGGTGAGAATCTCTAACTCTTTATAGATCTGGTGTGAGAACTTATATTTATCTTAAGAGAAAATAATTGCACAAGCCCTTGTTTAATTTTCATAGGAAAGGGATCCTCCTGAGGGTCCTGTACCTCGCCTTGAATCACGATTGAGCATGTTACTGTCGATCACAACACTATCAATCGCTGATATTATTGAGGAGGAAGAAGAAAATTTAATTAGTCAAGGAGAACATACGAATCAGTGGAAAGAGAAAGCAGTAGGCGGAAAGCGCCGTAGAGATTTAGTCTCCTGTTTACAGGTGCTAGGTGATTATGGAAGCTTGCTTGTTCCACCTGTAGCCGTCGTCTCTGCTGCCAATCAAGCTGCTGCAAAAGCTATTATGTTTGTTTCGGGGATTAAAGGTGGAAGTGGATACTTGGAGAGTGCTAACTTGATTGAAAAGACAATAAGTTGTGGTAAGCTACATATGCACTCTGCATTGCTTTAAAATCCTTGTCCTTTTCCTACAAAACGCGGTGATTTATTATTAGCCTAGATGGAATACACGCTTTTGCTGTAGAAGAAAAACTGTCATTGTGATTTTGAAATATATGAATGCTTCTTAATCTAGTTATCTCATCGCAGCTGGAAATTTGCGGCACTTAATAGTTGAGGCTTGTATTTCACGAAATTTATTGGATACATCGGCATACTTATGGCCAGGCTACACTAATGGACGCATCAACCAGATACCTCATACCCTACCAGTCCAAGTTCCAGGCTGGTCCATGTTGATGAAGGGTGCTCCTTTAACATCAGCAATGGTAAACGCTTTGGTGGCAACTCCTGCTTCAAGGTGTGTAGGATTCAAAAATTGTAGTATACTATATAATATTATTGCTTTGTTTAAATATGTCGTGGTGTATTTTTTTGTTGAGTATGAAAAAAAAATTGTTGTAACTTGTAGTTTATAGTTTAGATCTTCTGCGAACGATACTTGCCTGCTTTGCACATAGTGATATAAACAAATATCTTTATATGAACTTAAATCTTAGGCAGTATGTTTTAATCCTATTTGGAAGCTTTTATTCCCACAACTCTGGAGGGGTCACTGGTGTTAGAATCCATTTTCTTGATCTTTTTCTATTGTTACTGGTATAATTCTCCTGGTCTTCAGTTGTACCTTATTTCTTTTCTGAAGCCAGGGATATCAGATACTCTTTTTCTAAAATTGCTTGGGGTAATACCACTGAATTAAGCTCATGAATTTGATGGAAGCTTACCAGAACTTGAGAAGATATTCGAAATTGCTTTGAGTGGATCTGATGATGAAAAGATATCTGCTGCCACTGTTCTTTGTGGAGCCTCTCTTGTTCGTGGATGGAATATCCAGGTATACAATGTTCTAGTAGGGCTCTTGATTTGTTCTTATTTCTTCTTGTAAACAAGCAGAAGTACACTCTTTTTTTTTAATTACATTGTCTATCTTCTTACTGGATTAACTTAAGAATAAATCTTTTTCTGGGACAATCTTGTTAGCAGTATTGAGTGTCTAATTTCTTCTCCTTTCAGAATCAGTCCTAAGCTCAGGCAAGGGCCATTCTATTAGGTCTAGGAAGAAATTTTTCACATCTGTTTTGTATTAATACTTATGGTTGTTTCTCTTTTGACTGTAGGAACATACAATCCGCTTCGTTGTGAATCTACTCTCACCTCCTATTCCTGTTAATCACACGGGAAGTAACAGCCATTTGATAAGTCATGGTCCCGTGCTGAATGTTGTTCTTACAGGAATATCATCAGTTGACTGTGTCCAAGTCTTCTCTTACCATGGCCTGGTAGGCATAGATATATTGGCAGATGTCTTAACTCTGCAACTGAATAACACATACTTGAAAGATTTATCAAAATATCTATAATAAAACTCTCATTTGCATGTATACTTTACATCCAGGTTCCAGAACTTGCTGGTGCCCTGATGGCAATATGTGAGGTATTCGGGTCTTGTATTCCCAGCATTACATGGAACCATCCAGGTGGGGACGAAGTCTCTGCTCATGCAGTCTTTTCAAATGCATTTATTCTCCTTTTGAGATTGTGGAAATTTAACCACCCGCCTTTGGAGTATAGCATAATGGGAGATGGTGCTCCTGTTGGCTCTCAGCTGACTCCTGAATACCTTCTGTTGCTGCGTAATTCCCGGGTATTATCTTGTGATGGGATGAAGAATATTGATAACGTTGGTCATACTTCATCAACTTCCAGCTCATCTTCCACGCATCCAATCTTTGTTGATTCTTTTCCAAAGTTGAAAACTTGGTACCGTCAGCATCAGGCTTGTCTAGCATCTACGCTCTCTGGTCTTGTCCATGGAACTCCAGTTCATCAAAATGTAGATAGCCTTTTGACTATGATGTTTAGGAAGGTGAATAAAGGAAGCAATCAATCTGTGGGTCCTGGAACATCCGGAAGTAGTAGTTTGAGCAGTTCATCTGGGCTTGGAAGTGAGGACTGTGCTCTAAGGCCCAATTTGCCTGCTTGGGAAATCATGGAGGCTGTTCCTTTTGTAGTTGATGCTGCTCTTTCTGCATGTTCCCATGGAAGACTATCTCCGCGTGAATTGGCTACAGGTTGGTGAAGTTTCTTCAGAAGTCGGATATACTCATTCTTTCTGAAAAGTATTCCTGTTTACTCTTTGTTAGAGACATGCTTTGGTTTAGATTATCTAATTTATTTATATTGGGATTTGGAGAAGAAATACAATATTTTAGCCACACAGACACCATCTTCTGTCCACCAATACTATTTGTAATCAATCAGTTGGAGGAATGATGCTGAGATACACTTCACTCTAATTACTTCTCTTAGTAAAATGCTATAATCTGTAGGCAAAACATGAATATTCGTGCTCCATTTGGACACTGAGTATTAGACATGGCAATTGACCAAAATTTAGATCTGAGAATATGACTATGTATAAGTGTATATTGTCTTTCACTCTAGCGTACGCATACGTTTACTCACATGTGAAAGCACATAATTATATTATATTGACCTAAGAAGCTGTTGGATTTTGTCAAAAGAGGCACAAGGTACTGCCTTACGCATAATTTTAACGTAAATACAAGTATGCATTTGTAAGTGCTTCACATGGATAAACTCACGTGTTTTGTCCACGCATGTTTAACACACCAATTTTTATTGAGGGTAAAATTGTAAAATTTAACTTCAAGAATAATATACAACTTATTGAAAAAAGTTACATATGTATAATTTGTCATTAGATTATGACGCTGAAAGATATCATGTGGCAGTACGTATAACAACTCTGTTATTTTTATACTTTTTTGGTGCTATAACTGTGATATGGAAGCAGTGGTGAAGCCAGTAATTTTTTGTTGGGTGGGGATGTGGGTTGGNTGCATTTATTATAGTATGTAACAATTGAAAAACAATCAAATATGACAATGTATAAGAAAGTCTCAAATATGGTGTATCGAAAAAAGTCTCCAATATGTAGCGAAAAAAGAAGAACACGGAATAGAAGTTTTACGAAAAATTATCTTCATGAAAACTCAATCATTCACTACATCCATCCATCGTAGAATCAACATGCTCTAATCTACTTCTTACCAACATAGAAACATGACAAAATACATAGTACATTAAAAACATACAATTAATGTGCATTTTACAAACCTTCACATAACAATATACATTTTATCGTATTTAATTTCATATTTAACTGAAAAGTTATAAAATATTTATGCTGAAATGATGCAAAATATATTCTTACAGCACCATAAGAGAAATAAAGAGTGCACCACATTTTTCATTTTATAAATTCATAATATTCTTTATAAACAAATAACTAAGTTGCGCTTTATGTTCTTTTGCTAAACTAACTCATAAATGAATTTGCGTTGAATTTGTTGGCAATTTCTTTCTCTATGTACAAGATCAAGAATGCATTTTCCATCTTGTTTTGAAGCTTTGTCTTCACTATCTTCGTGATTGAGAATGTTTGTTCGGTGGTTGCATTGATACATGAAGAGTGAACGCAAACCTAATCATTCTATCAATAAGTAGATAAATTGTTGACTTTCTAGTCCTTGCCAAGCCTTGGCGTAATTCTTGAATGCTAGAAAACTTATGTAATTCGAGTCTTCGGGATGATAACAGACATCATGATTGAAAAGTTGAAGATCCACTCTTAAGCACACTAGTTCTTGCTCTATGAAATTCAAAGCATGAAAAATTTTCAACTAGTTCACAAATATCACCAATATGAATGATGGACAAATTTTCAAAAGAGACTCATTTAGACTTTTATTCCCAAAAAACGACCTCATTCAAACAAAATTACAAAAACCGACCTGGTTTCAGCCTCAGCGCTGAAACCAGGTCGGTTTTTGAAGAAAAAAAATTCGAAAATTCACGGGAGTTGAACTCTCGTGAAGTTTAGTAGATCTGCTAAACTTCACGGGAGTTCAACTTCCGTGAAGTTTTATAGTTCAAAAAAAATTTGAACTATGAAACTTCACGGGAGTTGAACTACCGTGAAGTTTAGCAGATCTACTAAAACTTCACGGGAGTTGAACTCCCGTGAAGTTTCGGAATTTTTTTTTTCAAAAACCGACCTGGTTTCAGCGCTGAGGCTGAAACCAGGTCGGTTTTTGTAATTTTGTTTGAATGAGGTCGTTTTTTGTGATTAAGTTTACAAATGGGTCTCTTTTGAAAATTTATCCTATGAATGATATATATCGATTTCTAGTATCCAAAGTTGTGTTAAGAACAAGTAACTATTGTATGCTCGTTGAGTTGTTGGTTAGTTCTTGGAATTGGTAATCAACTATCTAAAAGAATGCATCCACTCAATAATAATCCTCCTCAGTTATATGATCACCTTGCCTCTGAGCTTGGCCATGTTTTGCAACATATCTAGAACTCATATCGGGACCATCAATATCATGTAGCTCACAAAAATCTTTGATTTTCTCAAAGAAAATATTCCAATCTGAATCTTAGAGATTTTCACGCAACACTTTCGTGCTTGAAGCAAGATACACGACGTTCAAAATATCTGGAGATCGACGTTAAAATGCTTGATAAAGAAAATTGGTGATTTCCAAAAGTTCCTTCGTAAGATGCATTATCAAAGCAAAATCAAATGACAATAAGTGAGTCCAAGTATATTCCGCATCTCCACGTTAAGAGAAATTCCTTCTATAGAAAGACCATTTGGACCTATAGAATATCTGTTGAACATGTTTAGCAAACTAGAAATATAACCTAGATGAGAATCTCATCGAGTATCTCAAGCACTCTTTAAAATGCCAATTTAATTAAGCCATCTTCTGATCTCAACTTCACGGTTTGCAACTGGTGTTATCAAGGCGCAATGCACAAAGCGGAGAGCAAAGTTCCCTTATGCTCACCGTGCATAAGGCGGCGCGCGTGCTTCAGTGAAACGGGGCGCATAGCGAAACAAAATTGTTTTGGTTCCTATGTCAAATTAAACAAATAATATTTTATGAAATTTGAGATAAAAATGATATCAAGATAAATAAGTTCACCTATGAAATTAGAATAAGGTCATAATTCATAATCTTAAAACTAATTAAAAAAAGGTTAATGTTAATTTGATGCCACTCTTTTGTATATTAAGTAATTGATCACAGTGAGAAAATATAAAAGAACTTCTAATATAAAATCATACATCCAAAACTATGAACATTTTAAGAAGAACATGTAGCACATGCCTTAATTTAACAATACTTCAATAAAAAAACACACACGGTTTTTATATGAAAACCACCTTAACTTTTGTCCAAATTTGTACTTACCATATTTATCTATTTATTTTGATCAAAACCACTTATATTTGCTAACATGTTCGCAATGTCAAAACTTTTTTGGTATTTTGATATTTTTCTGTTCAAAAATTTTTGAGGTTCCTATTATACCCCTCAATCCAACCCAAGAGGGGAAATAGAGGAGAGGAGGGCAGAAGGGGAGGGAGGTTGGCAGCAATGGGGTTGGTGGGAGGAGAGACGGGGAGGTCGGTGGCGAGAGTAGAGAGAGGAGGGGAGGAAGGAGGAGAGGACGGAGGTGAGAGGATTAGGGAGGTGGAGGGGGAGGAGAGGAGGGATGAGATTAGGGTTTGGAGAATCTATAGAGATGAAGAAAGTGTTGGAGCGGAGGCGGAGGGGGAGAGGAAAGGGAAGGGAGGTGGAGGGGTAGGGGGTAAAATGAACATTTAGGGTCTTTTTGAGTTGACTAGTGAAAAAGGTGTAACATTGCGAACATGTTAGCAAATGTAGATGATTTTGATAAAAATAATAAAGATGGTAAGCACAAATTTGGATAAAAGTTAGGTGGTTTTCATGTAAAAATTCAAAAAAATGTTGCCAAATTTAATATTATTAATAATTATAATGTCACAATATTTAGAATAGGAGTTTGTGATTTCACAATCAATGCTCTAAGTATAGTAGTAATGATAGCAAAAAAGAAGAAAAGGAGAAGATGAGGAAGTATATAAGAATTCGGGTAAAGAGAAGAACAAGAACAAGAAAACAATGATAAAAGAGAAAAGCGAAAGAACATGCAACATCAAAGTAGGAAAGCAGTGAGGCACACCAAGGAGAGAGGCACATTGAGGCGTGTGCTTTATGCAATGCTCCTAGGCAATGTTCTAAAACACGGTTTTATTATATGCGCAGTCTTGAACCTCTTCATGATTAATCAGATTAAGTACCGATTAATCAGCGGATTATGCAGAGTAGTTTATTTTTATAGTTTTTAATATACATTTATTATTTATTATATGTTGAAATATATAAAATTCACGAAAAATAAAAAATATACTAAGAAAATACCGACAAGCACGCAATTGAATATTCAATAACTAGTTAACTACTTAAAATTTCAAGTCATACATGAAAATTAACTAGATACTCGAGTAAAAATTGTTACACTAAACATTTAAACTGAAACTAAAAGGTCATAAACTGAAAACAAATCTTCTAGTCTTCTTCATTAAAACAGTAAGTTACTTAACAAAAATCCTAATCTAATTCTTAAATAAACACAAAGTATGATTCATAAGTTAAATAAAATTTAAAAAAATAATATATTGGAGTGATATTTGATGACAACGAGAAGCTTTGTCAGAGATAGAAGATTCTACGAGAAGTTTCGTCAGACAAAGGGTGGAGTCTTATCATAGCTGATGAGTTCGCGCAAATGCAGAGAAGGGAGATAGTCACGGTATTTAAGAAAAGATAAGGGCTAGGGTTTTTACTTTGGTTAGTTAGACTAGGTTCGAATAACGGGTTCAGCTCGTAATTAAATTTAAAAAAAGCGTCGGCACAAAGAAATTATCTAAGGGCTTACTTAGAAGTTGGCCAATTAAGTGAATGTCTGCATAATTGAGGGCATAGCTCAAATCTTACGTGTATTTATTTCGCTTTTGCTTAAACAGGCGATTAAGCAAGTGCTTAAACCTTTTTTTTAGAACACTGCCCTCACCGCATGCAATACGGACTTTCAACGTTTTAAAGCATCCGATGCCCGATGCAATCGCCTCGGAGCACCCGAGATAATAGAGTTTGCAACTTATGGATGCAAATTCAGTTGCTTGAGCCTCCTTTAATTCATCATACTTTTGCTAGATTTACTAGCATTGATGGTGAAAATCAAGGTAGAGAAAAAAATGATGAACAAAAGATACTTCTTGAGCTTTCACAACTAAAGCAAGTTGAAGGTGATGAGCTAATTAATGAATTTAATAGACACATGGTCATTGCTTATGAATTAAAGCTTGTAATCTGTTCCATTCATCTCTTATGTTACTACCTGCTTTATATCCTTACCCTCTAATATTTTAAACGTCCAACTCATGATGAGAGATAATGTTAAAAGTTTTATTCCTCAAAGTTAAAGTTAATGTATCTCGTTTATAAATGAGGCCAGAGAAACATTCACATGAATCCCTCTTTATCCATAAATCTAAAACTATGGCTATTTGCTCTCTTTGAGACTTGCTTATAAGATTCATTAACAATGATGCAAAATTTTGCATCACCTAATTCTTCTTAAATATCTCTTTTTGACTTTGCAAGAGAGAGCATGAAGAATTTCCTTTTAGAGTTATGATGATGTGTAAAACGCATTCCTAGATATTTGTCTAAAACAGTAGTAAAGACTTCATTATAAGAGGCCAACAACTTAACAAGTTCAAAAAACTTGCCATGATAGAGACAATCCACACTTTTAACATGACCACAGAAAGCACAAGCTTAAAATATAACTCATCAGACTGCATGATACTTGAATCCGTGACCGATTTACTGCTCTTTGTTTAGAATGTATGCTTATCGAACAAATTCTCAATGTCTTATGAAGCATTCATTGACAATGCTTGTTTTTACGGCTCTTTTAGGGAATGAGTTACAATCTTTTCCAATATGCCATAAGAAAGCATAAATTTTCTCATCATTGACTTTCTTCTAAGCTCTAAAGCCTTCGAGAACAAATGTATTATGTTCCATTTTTCTTGTTGGCTTGCTAAAAAGATAGCAAAACAAGCAGAAAATTGGATCGCTAGATCGCTAGATGGAGAACTTTCGGGCCATAATATAAATAATGTGAGTTAAAAATAACAAAAAATCATGAAATGCTTCTCTAGACTGATGGAAGACAACTGATCTTGATCTTGACCACAAACTACAAATTGTAAGCTTTTTGAAGATGTGAGGAATTGATATGCTAAAATTATATCACTGATTTAGACAATTATTAAAATTAAGATAGCCATTTTTACTTGAATATAGTCTACATTAGTTAGAACTAAAAACAAAGTGCAGTTCTCTAAAATATTTTATGGCATTGACCTCGATAGGTCTCATGATAAACCTATCAGTTAGAAATACAATCTTAAAATAGAGTCATAAATTAGCTAGAAGTCTTGAATTTAAAATAAAACTAACAAAATAGGATCTTAATTTTAATATAAAGTTGCAATATTTATTAGCCTAAACTTGTAGAGGTTGGAATGTAAGACGTTGGAACAAGTCAACACTCGAAATTTTGAAGGAAGTATTAGTGTGCGAAGAAAACTATCAATTGAGAGTTAAATCCCTAATTTAATAAAAAATTGGTGTTGCAATGCTTGCACCAATCAATTGAGATTTAAACTAATCAGAGAACTACTCAAATCAACAAACATAATTTGGATTTTAACTCTCGAGTTTACCTTGTTGATGGATGATTCAAATAGGAGTTGGGGAGAACCGAGAAGAAGAGGCGACGATCGACAGGTTTTATGCGTTCTTGGAGTCTCTGAAACCTAACAAGATGACGTGTTTGAGGGATTCGATTTTGGGGAGAAGATACACAATTGGGAATTATAAGTTTAATAAAAGGATGAGAAGGCCAATCCCACTAGTTTTTGAGAATGAGAAAGCCGTTTTGTATTAGCTGTATGGGGATGTCCTGCCCTTTGAGGTTATGTTTAATAAAAGGATTCCAAGCTGTCAGGAGATTTACCAGCAATTGCACCTTTGCTAACATGATAGGATGATACATATTTACTTGGGGTTCTCTAAATGGAGCATTAGGAGTAGTAGATAAAGATTTTTGCAACTATTGTCATTTTGTCTTATATGAAAGGGCTTTTACATGAAAATCACATTAACTTTTATCCAAATTGATACTTACCCCCTTTATTATTATTATTATTATTATTTGATTAAAACCATCTGCATTTGCTTACATGCTTGCAATATCACATTTTTTGGTATTTTCCGTTTAAAAAAAATATAAAGTTTCTATTATACCCTCCAGTCTAACTTGAGAGGGGGAAGGAGAGGAGGAGAGGAAGAGAAGGGAGGAGGAAGGGGGTGAGGATGGAGGAGGAGAAGGGGGAAAAGGGAGGGAGTGTTGAGGAAACCCAAGAGGTGGAAGAGATAGTGGAGGAGGTGAAGGACGAAGGGGAGGAGGAGATGAGAAGAAAAGGAGGAGGTGGATGAGGCCATTGGTGGAGGTGGACGAGAGGAGGGAAGAGATTGGGGTTTGGAGAAATCCTAGAGGTGTAGGAGATTGTGCACAAGGTGGAGGACGGTGAAGGAGAGGAGAATGGAGGAGGTGAAGGAGATGGAAAGGGGGAGAGGGAGGGAAGGAAGGAGGTGGAGAGAGGAGGGATAAAATGGGTATTTCTGGATTTTTTTGAGCTATTAAGGTGTGAAATTTTAAACATGTAAGTAAATGTAAGTGCTTTTGATCAAATAGCTAAATACAAGTGGTATGTATCAATTTGCATAAAGGTTATGATGGTTTTCATGTAAAAGCCCTATATTAAATCTAGATGAGGAAGTACCCCTCATGTGGTATGTAGAGGAAGTACCACTCATGTGGTATGTAGAGGAAGAGTGCTTGTCCATCATAATAGTTAACTATTTTCACAAGTAGGAAGTAAAGAAAGAGGAGATTGTATACTGTATGAGAGAGACTATTAAAGAGTCGAGATTATAGAGAAGACAGGCTATTAATGAGCATAGACTGTAGTGCGGAGAGCCTTGTAGTTAGAATTCTACAACCTTTACCTTCCTTTCACTGCTTCAGGTAAGAGAGCATGTAGGTAAGAGAATATGTGAAGATAAGATTGAGAGTAAGTAGAAGAAGAGGGATTGGGGATATTTATAGAAATGTGAGGATATGCAAAATAAATCACGTGAAAAAAAAACAAAATTTTAGTACAAAATACAACCAGGCCCCTCTAGGGAGAAAATTAAAAAAAAAAAGAGGGGAGTGATATTAGATGTTGGTCGCGGCTGTAATGCTTTTCCTAATAGCTATATTTGGATGGGTCAGAATTGGTGTTTTCGAGCCGTATCATACCAGACAAGCTATGCCTACACAGTGAACTGGCGTGCCTTTGTGCTGCACTGGTTGAGTCATATTTTTCCCTGTTCCTCCATTTCCAAGCCAGCTTCAGCCTGATTAATGGTGGCTGGCTTGGTCGAGGCAGGCAAGGCTTGACAGTGACCATGCCCTATACGGATTACAACCAGGACAGGCCATATAGGGCCACCCTGGCCTAGTTTCCATCCTAGAGTAATTGAGTACTGCTCCTAGTTTCAAACTACCTACGTTTTTGTTCAAGGAAAAAACTCAAGAAAGTGTTGACTGTTTAATAACTTTTAATTTAGATTTAAGTGGTCTAACTTAGTGATAATGTGGGTTAGTGTATTGGGCTCTGGAATTAGATCACTGAAGATATTTATTCAGTTATAATAGGTGTCTATTGAGTTAGCAACAATGGGTTCAATTTTGGAATGCAGAGAATCCAGTCTTATTATATTATATAGTAGCCTTATTGACAGTCTGGAGTTCAAGTGAAATATATTAGTAGATTAATTATAGAGTTGTTTTGGGTTTGGGTTTGGATCTGCTCATTATCTCTGTACTTGTATCCTTTTTTCAAAACTAATTTTCTTCATTAGATTTCTTTTAAGTCTCCTATCAGATTAGTAGGATAATTCTTTTTAAAAAAGGCTAAGGTATTACACTTTCAGAGCATGATATTGTCTCTTACTTGACACAGCCATTCTTACTTGACACAACTGATTTTCTTTGTTAGTATTGCTGGACAGTAGTTGAACTCTTGAATCTATTCATTTAGATATTTTCTCCCCTCTTTTGAGCTGATTTAAAAGTTATGAAAGACTACGGAAACTAATCAAGTCTCTGTAATTTGATTAAAATCAGCCTTTATTTCGAAACTCAAGGATTAGACTGTATGCATATATTAGAGCTATGGCATTCTTCATTATGTTTTTTCGGGTGGGTTATACACTATACTTACATCGATAACCTTGGTGGAGGCTATCCAGAAATTTGAACAGTCATGCAACCATTATTCAGATGTTGTTTCATGGGAATTTCTTTCAATTAGTTTCTTAAGCTGATGAAGCAGGCTTTATAGTTTGGAACTGGGCTAAGATTATGAATTGGCAGGTGAAAGGGTGAAGTTCTGGGGGATGGGTTAGTTTTTTATTATAAATTTTTGGTGTTTGGAATTTTAAGCTTTTAATTAGCACATCATAAAGCTTATTAAGAGGCATGATCTAATTTATGAATAAGAGAGGGACTGATTGGAAAGACAGGCTTGAAGGAGGTTATGTGATCCTTATATGAACCTTTTGAGATGGAACGTTAACTCCGTCCCCATGGCTCCATTCTCATGAAAATCATTTCACAGGAAGGTCATCTAATATTTATCCAGATGACTAGAGGTTCTCTGCACTTACCATATATTGCTCTGAATGATTGATTGTATTTAACATTTGACTTGTTCATATTATTTTACTGAAGATAGTCTTGATTGCTCTTCTTATTCCATCTTTGTTATATTTTCACATTAAAATTTTCTATGATGTTTCAGTGACTGTAACATAATTTCTTAAGGTTTCCAGCATTCTGGTTAAAATTAAGATAAAACATTCAAAGAATGTTACAGTTCTGTAACAAGGTTAACGTTATCAATTTTTTTCTTGTCTAAAGGTCCAGAGAAAAATATAACTAGTGTTTGAAAATCTTTTATCCTGTTTATGCATTTTTAGGCCTCAAAGATTTGGCAGACTTCCTGCCTGCTTCTCTGGCAACTATAGTTAGCTACTTCTCGGCTGAAGTTACTCGTGGGGTTTGGAAGCCTGCATTCATGAATGGAATTGACTGGCCAAGTCCTTCTGCAAATTTATCCACTGTGGAGGAACAAATCAAGAAAATTGTTGCTGATACAGGTGTTGATGTTCCAAGCCTTGTTGCAGGTATTTGTTATTTCTTTATACATATATCATGTTGCTCTCCTTTTAAGCCTCGTTGCAGTTACTTTATTCTCTATATCTGCCTGCTATATTGTTACCCTTTTTGGACAACTTGTGGCCATATGAAGATTAGCTACGGAAAGGGACTAGTTCAACCCTAGTTATTTGTAACATGCTTTACATGGGGAGATCTATTGTTGCAGGATTGTGCGGTGGAGTCTGGGGGTCTTGTAGGGGTGTTTTCTTTTTTTCTCGTGTGTGTGTTGTTTTTTTGTTTTTTTTGTTTTTTTTTTTTGTTGGGGGTGGGGGGGGTAGGGGTGGCAAACGGGTCGACCCAACCCGACCCGACCCATATAAATTTGACCCGACCCGTATAAGTGTGACCCGACCCGACCCATTTAATAAACGGGTCAATGTGATCCGACCCGATTATTAAACGGGTTACCCGACCCGACCCATATAACCCGAATGATCCGTTTATCAAATACAAGACGTATCCTAACAAATAACTAATAAAAAAATTATAAATGCACAAAAGAACACTTCTTACAAGCTCTTTAGACAAAATCTATCACTACTTACAACATAGAGTTATTTTAAAGACATATTCAGTATTTTTAAATGTACTTCAACGAAATACAAATATCGACAAACAAAAATATATCGATGCAGCTCTTTAGACACTAGAATAATCTAACCTAAGAACTAACAACATAGAATTTAACACAAGTAAATAAAGAGAATATACACAAGTTTACAACAAAATAGCTAAAACCCATCAAGCATCATCTTTTTGAAAAAAAATATACTCGTTGCAAGAGCTCTGAAAATAAGATTAAAATACAATTACAGTTTACAAAAAAATTAACTGACCCATCTCCAAATTTGAGTCAAAAAATTCATTCTCAGAGTGAATGAGACAATAACTATCACAAAAGGAGATAATCAGCTACATCCCAACACAAAATTTCTTCTAATTTAACTCATCACGAGATCCCCCGGAGTGAAATACACAGAAATTACAATCTCCAGTAACAATAATGCTGATCAATCATAGCTAAAAGCTACTCTTCAGGAACAATAATGTCGATCTGACCTTGAAAGCAATTGCTATCACTCCTGTTCAAGGAAACATATTAAAACAATCAAATAAAGAGTTTTACGTACAAATAAATCAAGTCATACCAACCTTATAGATTTGATTGTTCAAGTAGAGAAAATACACTATGTTGCACTGTCATAGTACTGTAGTATGCCTCTAAGTAGAGACATGAAAACTGAATAATTAACAATTGGAGCATATTTTAAAGGGTAAAATCAGACGTGACATAAACAGCAAAAAAAATCTTGAATATTTTCAGAAACAAAGAGAGGAAAATTGATGCAAACATATCCCAAATTTTGAAATTAGAAAGAGAACATAACAATTTAAGTAGAGTCAGCCTGCAACCTCTGCTTCCCCAAAGTCTTTGACCATAAAAAGGACGAGATAGTAGAAAGGATCTTGAGAGATATCATCACTTAAAAACAGTCGAAAAAAGTTTTTCATATAAATGATAGGCAATAAGAATATTACAATTCACACTTACCTGTAATGGATATTTCACAAATGCAGGTTCATAGCGCGCGGTTAGAACGACGAGGAAAGGTGTTGACTGAGCAGCTACTTTTGTACTTAGCAACCCAAACAACAACAACTGTGCTATAGAGGAAAAACTTTATGGAGTCTTTCGGCTTCCAAAGTAATATAAAGTCCAGTCCACAATCAAAAAATAATTAGAGATTTAAAATAATTTTGTATATTCCTCTGTATTTCCTTTGCGATGCACGTATATATGTTCGTACATGCCCCAAAAATCTAGTTTCTATAATTGTTATCTAAAATATTTGTTAGCTAGACAAAAGAATATTTGACCTTACCACACACACCACCGTCATCTCCGCATCAAAACCTAAAATTATGATGAGATGGAGAGATTTAACTTACAGCTTTATATAAGGGTTATATATATATATATATATATATACCAAAGTAATATAAAGTCCAGTCCACAATCAAAAAATAATTAGAGATTTAAAATAATTTTGTATATTCCTCTGTATTTCCTTTGCGATGCACGTATATATGTTCGTACATGCCCCAAAAATCTAGTTTCTATAATTGTTATCTAAAATATTTGTTAGCTAGACAAAAGAATATTTGACCTTACCACACACACCACCGTCATCTCCGCATCAAAACCTAAAATTATGATGAGATGGAGAGATTTAACTTACAGCTTTATATAAGGGTTATATATATATATATATATATATATGACAGAAAGATACGAACACTTCGCTGCGTCTTGAACCAAAAAAGTATGATAGAAATATGTTGTTACAGAGGAAAAACTTTGCATTCTGATAGAATTAGAAAGAAAAAGCTCTGACTTAGGACTTTCCGATATTTAGGTACTTGATCTATGAAAACATCATACATTGTCATGTAACTCATGTCCCTATTAGGGGTGAATCTCACAAGTGAAAATGAACCATGCCATGCCTCCCCACTTTCATCACAAAGATATGTAACCCATGCTCAAAAGGGAGGCCATCAAGTACTGTAGTGGTGAATCACATATCAGGCACAAAAGAGCAACAAACCACTCTAAGAATCAATCAAGTAATAGAGGACCAGCTAGAAAGCAAGACAAAGGATAACAAAAACAGAGAAATGATTTATTGACCAACTAAAGATTTCCAAGAAGAGTGAGGAATAAAAGAAAGGATAAAGGAGCAAAATCCTAGCAAATTACAGAAACTATAAGTAACCATTGGGGATTGGGGAAGCAGAAAGAAGAAATAGTGTACGGTAACCAAGCTAGAATTTTTCAAAAACCATATATTTATTTCCTTCTCCTTACGAAAAAAAAGGGGCAATTATTTTTGAGTTACTCTTTTAGGGATCTGATGCCCCCGCCACCACTCCAGATAGTAATCACATAACCATATTTTATCCTGTAGAAATATAGATTTTCCATTAATACTTCAAACTAAATTCATCAAGAAAATTTAACCATCCATCAAACTGTTGACAAAGTTTTGTTGGGGACTTGTCGGCGGATCCTGAGTTATAAACTCTGAGCATGCAATCCCTTCATTTTTACGCATGCAAAGTCCTTTCCGTAATTAAGTAAAACAAGTGAACTACAGCTGAGCTCTGTTACCAAGATGTACTAATTTCTCTTGAACAATTAAGTAGTGTAAAATTTCATAATATTTGTGAGATCAAGTTTTCTAAATTAGTTCATACTGACATGTACATCACTCTTCCATGGATGCTAATAGTAGACTTTAAAAAATCGTAAACATAAGCAAACAAACATAATAATAAAAATAATAGTAAGTGATCAATGAACTTCTTTACTATTATTAACAGCAAGATTAAAGGAAAAAAAATCACTGCATATATACGTCTGTGTGTATGCATTAGCACTGCATATATACATATATCAAAATCTATGTATATCTGAACACACCATGACTGCATATGCTCATTATGTACAGATACTTGGTATTTCAAGCAGAATTTGAAGTGGAATTTACTTCCTGAACCCAATGCTGAGATTTCAAATTGAGAATATATTCCTTAAATCATAACCAACAAAATTGAAGGCCTGTAATAGTCATATAGCTGGATTTTTTGGAAAAAAAACATACCTTTTTCCAAAGGGGAAGCTGTTCTTGGTGACTTAGCGACAGAAAAGGGGAATAATAATAAAAAATAGTCAGAACTTGTGACTTAGCGACAGAAATTAGGGGGGAGAACAGGGGGAAAACAGAGAATTAATCGACAGCGGTTCATTAAACGAATATTTGAGATCGCGGAAAGAGAAGAAAACTACCGGAGAAAAAGGGGAAATCGACGTCGCCCCTCCGGGGACGGTGACGAGAAACTCCACCGCCAGACCTGCGATCCACAACGAGGCTCCTCTCGTCGTCATCAACCTCCCTCATCTGAGCGTTGGTGTTGAACGATCGAGCCGTAGACGCTCTCCGCTCGCCGACGCTCTCCGTTTCCGCTCCACTCTCTGTTTGCCGACGCTCTCCGCTCGCCGCTCGCCGCCACTGGGAAATTTAGGGCTACTTTTTTTTTCTTTCTCTGCAGTGGCGCGTTTATGAGGGAGTGAGGGACGAAGTCACGAAGGGTTGGTTGTGTTATACGGGTCGGTGATTTGTGTTATACGGGTCAAGAGGTTAACCCGAATTTACCCATTTAATAAATGGGTAAAACTGGGTTGACCCGTTTATGACCCGACCCATGTAATTCAACCCATACCCATTATAAACGGGTCGGGTCGGGTCGGGTTGATGGGTCGGGTCATAAATTGCCACCCCTAGGGGGGGGTGTGTGGAGGGCGCTTGGAGTTGGCTACCCTGCAGATTGAGTTTGGAGATAGATGGACTTGGGTATGGGTTTCGCTGTCACGCGCAGGGTTTTTTTTTTTTTTCTTTTGGTAGATTTGAACTTTAATGAGTGCATGCTGGTTTAGGGATCGGGTTGAGGAGGGAGAGAAAAGAGAGAGAGGAACAGCAATTTACACTAGGAGTATCTTAGTATGTTTTGTTGGGTAAGGGACTTGATCCTTGACAGTGATAGCTGGATTGAAGGAAGGCCAGTTTGAAATTTTAAATCAAATAATTTTTATCTGTGTGTTGATTATGGAGTGAACTAACTTCATCAATATACTAGCTACTTTAATAACTTTTATATCTGTGTGTTGATTATGGAAATATAACAAAGGTATGATGACAAGACTATGATGGACTGATGCAGACTTGAGTTGGTACCTATGATATGTAGAATGGCATGATACAAGACAAAACTTGCACTGGCTTACCATACAATACGAACAAAAGTTTATTACTATCACGACAATAGTTTAATTTTTTTATTTCAATCAGAGAGATGACAACAGGGAACTTTGCAAAACATCTACCCTAATATTTTATTGAAATAGAACGTAGGCATACAATTAATACTAATAAAGATATATGTTAGAAAATTTACATTTAAATTTAAAGCAGATATAATAGTAGGATTATTCCATGTGCCAAATAACAATAATAAGCAATTAATTTAAATTTCAGGCTCAGCTAAGCAAGTCTGGTATGGCAAACTCCTCTGTTGAATTCGCAATCAAAACCTTTATCCTCCCTCTTTGCCTCAACCAATGATCATAGTTTTTCCTTACCCTAGTCCTAGCTGCTTTTTCAAACGTGACATTGCCTTCTCAAACATGTCATTATTATTTTCACTTACTGGACTTAATCTTTTGTTCTACATGTCCATGATTCTGGCACTTGGCAGCCTGGCTTTTTTTACTTACCATAAAGATGGAGCAGTTGATCTCACTTGCCTTTCTCGTTCTGTGTATTAAAGGAGAGTCTATCTTAAAATTGGTTCAAAATGAGGGTTGCATTGTACTTTTTAACTTTAACTATCGTCAAATTTCTGCACATACGATTTGAATATATATTTTATATGACTTGGAATAGTCAAGTTGGATCCAGAGAAGATACTTCTAGACTTCCTGATTTCTGGTTTAATGTTTTGCTAGAGTTATTAGACTAAGAATGATATTATTTTTATTTTGAATCTCATTTATTTGAAGTTACTTTTTCCCGTTTCTGTAAAAAGAAAACAGGTCTTAGTAGGATCTATTCTCCAATTTGTTATTGTGCTTATTATTGGTTATATTATATGACCTTAATTATGTCAACGTAGCATAGTGAACACTTTCCTCTCGTTGACATTTCCTGTTTTCAGTGATTCAGTCTGTATAAATATGAGTGAAATGGGTTTCGACATATTGAGGATCACTGGCGAATCTTTGTGGACTATATATATTGATCATTGATGTATAAACTATATACAGTATTTCTAATTATGGTCATTATATTTAACAAGATATGGGTCCACACACAGTAAAGAAAAGCGTGGAAGTGGATAAGTATTATGCATCTTGGTACTCTGAAACAGGATATCTGTTCCTATGTTTTAACTAACGAGAGAGCAAATGCATAAACCCAGAAATTGAAATGTGCTTTAAATGTTAAAATAAATAAATGCATGAAAGTTGTTGAGTACCATTACCATTGAGCCATGAATACATTAGTTCGGACACAAGCTTTTTAGTGCTTAAGATAATGCTGACTTGTAAACAATAGTGGAATGTAGCCAAGGGTCTTGGAGCACTCTATAAATGACATAGGTCAATTTTTCTCAAAATAAAATATAAAAATATAAAATTAAGGACCATAACTATATAATATAATAATTGATGTTACTATTGCAACATAATACATTGAAACTATACATATAAAGACACCTAAACTCGTCTATGCTCCTTTCATGCCACTTTCCTCTGGATTCAGATCCTCTCTATGATTATGAATAACAAAGTGGGAAAGAAGACCCAGAAAATTCTGTTGCAAAATTTTTGTTCTTTTTTTTTCTGAGTTCCACTTTATTTAATGCCAAAAATATGAACCTAGTTTTTTAGATTAGCTTTGGCCTGTGATAAAATGATTGCAGGAGGAAGCTCCCCGGCAACTCTTCCATTACCTTTAGCAGCATTCGTCAGCCTCACCATAACATATAAACTTGACAAAGCCTCTGAACGGTTTCTTAACCTTGCTGGTCCGGCTTTAGAGAGCCTCGCAGCAAGCTGCCCATGGCCCAGCATGCCAATTGTTGCGGCCTTGTGGACTCAGAAGGTGAAGAGATGGAGTGATTTCTTAATCTTCTCAGCATCACGAACCGTATTCCATCACAGCAACGACACAGTAGTTCAGCTCCTGCGGAGTTGCTTCAGTGCTACACTCGGGCTCTCCGGCACCCCACTCTCTAGCAATGGCGGTGTTGGCAATCTCCTCGGCCATGGCTTTGGTTCACATTTTTGCGGTGGCCTATCACCGGTTGCACCAGGCATTCTCTATCTCCGTGTCTATCGCTGCATCCACAACACGATACTGCTAACAGAGGAGATAATCTCCCTCTTGATGAATTCAGTCAAGGAGATAGCAGAAAGTGTTCTCCCGAAAGAAAGGGCGAAGAAGACTAAGAATGGAATGAAATATGGACAGGTTTCTCTTGCTGCTGCTATGTCACAGGTGAAACTTGCAGCTGCACTTGGAGCGACATTTGTGTGGTTATCCGGAGGTTCTGGCATAGTGCAGGCTCTGGTCCATGAAATATTACCCTCATGGTTTTTATCAGTGCATGATTTGGACACAGAAGGGGGAAGATGTATGCGAGGTGGAGTTATACATAGCTTGCTTGGAAGAGGACTTGCCTACTTTGTTGTGTACTGTGGGATGTTTGCTTGGGGCATCGACTCGACTCACGCATTAAAGAGGAGATCGAGGATCATCGAAGCTCACATGAAGTTCTTAGCCAGCGCATTTGATGGTAAGATCTCGCTTGGTTGTGACTGGGCTCTGTGGAAAGCCTATGCTTCGTGTTTATTGGGGTTGATGGTGGAGTGTGCACCGAGCTGGGTTGTGGAGGTCGACCTTAAGGTACTAAAGAGGCTGAGCAGAGGGCTCATGCAGAGGAACGAGGACGAGCTTGCTCTTGCTTTGTTGTGCAAGGGTGGAGTTGAAGCGATGGGCACGGCTGCTGAGGCAATAATTGCTGGTGAAAGAACTGAATAATACTGATAATCTGATTTTGGTCTGTTGTGTGCATTCTATTGACGGGTTTACAGTGGTTTGAAGTGTGGGCATGGGTAGAGGTCTTTAGTTTACTAACCTGCTGCGATTCACGTCTGTTTCCGTAAGCTTATTGTTTGCATGTGAGTTTGTATGGATGTACAGTTGAATGGTTTTTTAACAGCTGCCAGATTGATTGTTTTTGCATATTTGTAGTTCCGTGTTGGTGCCCATCTGTATCTATAGCACATATGAAGAAGGATTATTGACGTCTTGGTACCTTGTAGTACGGTATAATTATAGAGGTGACCCAGTGTATCTACACGAATGACCCTGTGAGATTATGAATGAGGCTACACAGGTAACCCTAATTAAAGTAATATTAGAGTTGTTCAAGGTTTACCAGTGTAATTTAAGTTAAGTATAGTAAGTAACCCTAGTGTTATTCGTGTGATACGTAAAATCCAAAGTCATCCGTGTGTATTACACCGAGCCACAAGGTATCAAGACGTAGATAATCCTATGAAGAGTGTACTGCATGTCCTGGTAATGGTCGTGTTTGGTTTTAAAATTCTGCTCTGGTGAAAGATTTCATATATCAGTTCGATCAAAGCTCAAATTGTGAGACGAATGCCACGCTGTAGTTCAGTAGTTACATTTGTCAATTATCATTAGGCGTGGAGTAGTTACATTTGAGTTACGTTTGAGGATTGGCGTTAGGTATGGAGTAGTTACATTTGACGATTAGCGTTAAGTATGGAGGCTGTCCACGAACGACCTGAACAGTACTTTTTACTGTCGAATTGAAAGCCAAACTGCCAATCTAGGGTGGAAAAATGACTTAATTCTAGTGAGTGGAAAATTGTAGATTGATGGATTCGTCGAGAAATACATGCATGAATTATACTATTTGCGCTTCTGTGTCCCTCAACAAGCAATTGCAGATTGTGTTATGAAGCCAATCTTGATCCTGAGCAATTATGCCAAAGTAGGCTGTGCCTCGTCCAGATTTCCATAGAAAGAAGTTTTCCAAAATCCAATCTTCAAACCAACAATGCACCCATACGCTGCGTGATTCAACCTGTCAAAGAGTACTTCACCTTAAAAAAACATGGAACCAAAACTCTTCTCCCAGAATCTGCAGGATAACATGTAATCTCAAATTCGTACTCCTTGAAGTACAATTCGACCTGGCTATAAATTATGTGAAGCATTTGCAAACATGACCAAAGAAATCATTGCCCAGTGAGTCAAATCTGTTAAAAAGTGCGGCATTCTACGTGGTTAGACCTACTGTTGATATACTTGAGTCACAAAATTGCCACAATATGAGAAATAAAAGAGAAAATTGGAACAGAAGAAAAGTAGGAAGAAAATGGAGCAGAATCCTTTTATAAAAGTAACAAGAAAACTATTCAAGGGGAAGAATTAAGAATGAATGTTACATAGATTAGTTCTCATAGAATCAAAGTCCAAGAAGATTATGGTTGTATTATCTTTGGTTCGCAAATTTCTAGCTTCACCTAGTACATAATTTGCTAGTCTGACAGCTGAGTTGGCGTCATGAGCATCTTTCTTCTGCAAAATTTCAAACATCATCAGCATCAACAGATAGGCATATCTGAAAGTTAACAAACTTTTATTGGCCTACAATATTATTTAAATATTAATTGTGGATAGGCCCCCTGTAGTAGTGCCCAATTATGGATTACCCCTATATAGATCTATGTGCAAAAAGTAAAAATAAATAAATAAATAAATACAAATTCTCTTTCTATGACGGTAAAAGAGTGAAAAAAAATCACTCAGAAGGTCTGTATGCAAGAATAGAACTACAAGGAGGTCTACCGCAATTAACCCACTATTTAAACGTCTGTTGATACCTGAACTATAAGTTGCACTGCCTTCTTTATACTGATGACATCCCATAGGCCATCACTGCAGTTCCAATCAAGAGGATTATCATGAAATGAGATGCAAACATAATCTGAAAGCAGATAAAGCATAAATCAACAAAAAGAATGGGAAGAGAGAATCACCTGGCTAACAATGCAAATGCCTCTCTGCATGATTTTGATACATGCACAGCTTGGCTAACATAAGGCTCTGCACTAAAACGAGAGTCTTGCTCTTTAAGAAACTTGTCTCCAAGCATGCGTCCGAGATTGATACCTAAATTAGTTTATTGAGATAGATATTAACCTAATCATCTTTCAAAGACAAAAGAACAGAACAACGATAAATTTCGCAAAACCCCCCAAGAACATTGGCCCATATTGAGATAACCCCCAAAAACTTTGGAAGTGTCACTTAACCCCCCAAAAGTTGGGGTTATCTGAAAATAGATTAAGAAAAATTGCAAAAGTTTTGGGGCTTAATTGATATTTCCGAACTTTATGGGGGAATATCTCAAAATTGGCCAAACTTCTTGGGGTTTTGTGAAATTTATCCAAAGAGAAATGATAAATTACAGACCACCAACGCGTGCTTCACCATCTTTTAATGGCATTCCCATTTTCGAGAATCGAGCCCGTTCAGTTACCCCAATTATCCTGTGATCCTCTGTCATTGTGATTTGCTTTCCACTAACACTATCAACCCATGATATGAAAAAAAAAATAGTAATCAATTACACAAAACACTGAAAAAATTAAGCAACGAGGCTGATTACTGGAGAATGAGCCTGTTCTTTCTATTAAACAATTTATTTTGATAAAGCCCAGCACTTTGTCAGCAACTCAAGTATTAACAAGGTATGAGAAATTTAGCACTTCCAGCTAAGATCTTATGTTTAGCCTGGTGCCATAGTGGTGTCTTCTTTTCAAAATTTCTAATAGAAGTTCTTGGGAACATTACTGAAGTACTGAACAATGGTGTCTTCTTTTCAACATTTCTATTAGAAGATCATGGAAACTGTACAGAAGTACTGAATAATGGCCCCAGGTGAGTGGCGAAAGAAAAGTTTATGTAGCCTACTGCAACTAGAGATATGGACTTTGCTTATGATTTCTAGGAACTACCTCAACATGCATCAGGAAATTAGCATGATCTATTTCAGAGCTTCATCACTACATCGGCTTGAGATATATCGTTAGCCTACAAACCCATAACTTCAACTTAAGGCAAAGTGTGGTTGACATGGTACTGCAACAAGTTCAAGAAATTTCGGATTCAAACCTTGTTGTCAGATTGAAAATCTATTTACCTACATCCTATGTTGGACAGATATGGGTGCAGGTGTAGACACGGAGATGGGTGTGGATACGGAACATGGCAAAATTGTAAAAGTTAGGATATAGCGACACGGCTTTATACATACATATTACAATTAATAATCTATATGAGAATGATATTGTTTTTCATTCACATGTTATGGGAACGAAAATCCTTATACCATTTTTATGTTTCTTAACTTTCTTTTATTGAGTAGATTATAAATTGAAAAACCGCTTGTTTTTTAACTAGATACCAATGTTGTCAATGCGTGAGGCGCAATGCCGGGCGCAAGCATCTTTGCGCTCACATGCGCAAGGCGCAACGTGATGCGCGCGCCCGGGTGACGCGATGCGCGCACCGCACACATAATTTCTCAATATATATAATCAAGCATGAAAGAACATGTTTTTAGAATTTACATGAAAAATATGTCAGGATAAATAATATATTACTACAAAATCACAATATAATATACCTTAATTTCTAATGCTAACACCCACATAATAGCAAAATGAATAAATTTTCAAATCAAATGTTAAATCAAGACTAATATCCAAGCAAAGGATTAGTAACGGTCCTCAATTGAATGCTACTAAAAAGACCTAATGGATTTATTTTGATTTTTGAGATATGTTTTCGAAAGACTCAATTCTACTGAACGTGAAGATCAGTCTTGTCTCAAGATTGCAGTTACCCATGTCAGTGACTCCTCGTTTCTACCTCCCATTCTTTTGCAAACAGAAAAAAGAGATAATTATCATCTGTCAGAATGTCTGCAAACTCTGTTCAGAATCATCAAGGGAACCGAGTCAGAAGGTACATATCTACTTTAACACACCTTATGGAAAACAACATCAGCAACACTTAACATGTAGATAAAAAAAACTCCACAATTCAGGTTCATATCATTCCACTAGTAATAACGCAAAAGGTTAGCTTCAACCAGTATCATTTTACCCCCGATAAACAGTTGTAAGTGTTAATAACAAGCAAAGATCTATCCAACAGTACTAGAATGCAAATGAGTTGGTCCTAATAGTTCTGCTCCAATTATCTTTCACTTTCCAAATCTATACAGTGGAAAAAAAATTGTTGAGTGAAAAACGTACTTCACAACACAAGCTGAATCACCAACATTGGCGCATTGTGCAAAGAGTTCTTCATGGTGATCAATCCAAACCAAAAGGACTGTGGCAGTACAACCCTGTAAAGAATTAATGTTAACAATAATGTTAAAACTCTCTTTACCCCTAAAGACAGTTAAGTTCATCAACATTCAGATAGCGTAATACAAGTGACGGCATATAGATTGTGTGCATAACATCAGTGTTTTCAAAGGCGTGTGCCTCACCGCGCCTCATGCGCCTCGTGATGTGGAGCAGTGGAGATGCACCACAATGTAGCAGCGCCATTTGCGCCTCGCACACATCCTTACTTTGCGCAGGATGCATGTAATACATGCCCTCATATATTTTTGTTTGTTAACATTTCAATCGAGTCTTTGTACTCGATAACCCATATCCCAAAAAGCAAAATCCATTAGGCCTTTTTAGTAGCCTTCAATTGAGGACCATAACTAATCTTTTGCTTTGATATTAGTTGTGATTTGACATTTAATTTGAAAAATTATAAACGTTGCTACTATGCTGGGTGTTAGCAGTCAAAACTAAGACCTTATATGTGATTTTGTAGTAAGATACTATTTATCCTAACATATTTTCTATGTGAATTCTTAAACATGTTCTTTCATTCTTGATTATCTATCTTGAAAAATTATGTGTGCGGTGTGCGCCTCGCATCACTCGGACCTTGCACATGTGCGCGTAAAGATACTTTGCGCCCCGCATTGCGCCTCGCGTGTTGACAACACTGCATAACATAACAAAATTAAGAACCATACAAGAATGATCATTCAGACAAATTAATAACGAATCTACAACCAGCTAAACTTAAGGAGGACTTATGAAGGAAGTTGGATAAATAGAACATCCAACACAACTACCCAAGTTTAATGCTACTTTCCCTATTTTGCTTCTGCAATCAATAAAAGCTGTAATTATTAGATGGAACATTTAAGAAAGGTTGATAAATCAAGAAGGCTACAGTGGGTGGCAGGGAAACAGTATAGGGCATTAGGGTTTTCCCAATATTATTCCCTAAAATGTTTCATATTTTGAAATAAGTATCTCAAGTAATAGAGATTGATATTAGCTCTCCAAATCTTATTAAGTTAATTCAAATTTGTCTCTCTAGCTTACAAGCATTTGATTTGGAAGGAATATTCCTTTAAATTAAACTTT